TCACTCACTCACTCACCCATTGACCCGTCCATAACATACCCGACGCGCCGACTAAGAGGTATTTTTTTTGCAAAAAATAACTCAAAAATGGTATCCCTCCACGCTCGGCTATCTTCGCTTGACAAATTTTTTTTTTTTCGTTTATGTAGATCGAAGATTTTCTGCGTCGTGTGTTGTTACCAAAGAGAACAGTTATTGTTAAGATGGCCACTATAAGATCGGAACTGTAGGGTCCAGAAGGTAAAATTGGCGATCTCCCAGATTTCGATTTATTTAGCTAGGTTGGCATCTCAGTAAAAAGCGAATGACTAAATTTTAACTTATTTGTGGTGCACTTTCAGTTGGATAAGTTGACGTCAGTCAGGTGCTTCTGGTATTTACCTCAAAACATAAGTGCATGATCTTTTTTTTAAATCTGGCTATTATATTAGAGAGGCTCGGTTTTCGCCGCTCTCTCGAGTCCGCTCCACGTTGCTCTCGAACAGTGGTTTTGGAATTTACATGAAACCAATCCCAAGCCATGATTAATAATTTCGTTCTTTCACTTTCATAGCCACTTTTATAGTCATATATACATAATTTTTTAATGTGCTTTTTTAACACTTTGTCATGTTGTCAATTTGGAGTAATCATCAAAATAGTAGGGTTTTTTCCCGTTTTCGGTTTCAAGCACCGCCCACAGGGGCTCATGGGATACGGGAAAAGTCCCTCACACGCTTGAGCGGAGTGTACATATCGTTCAAACTGTGTGAATGCGGTTTTATCATGTACTAAAGTATGTCTCGTTCTTTCTCTCTGGAAGAACATTCTTCTCTGTTTTCACGTGAAGGTTCGCTCGACCCAAGTTCTACAGGTCCATTAACAAGTGAGCTTCATTTTTTATCACACGAAGAACCACGGTCTGAAGGTTATGACGAGTACTTTGATCCACCGTTGGAAAGTAAATATGAATGTCCCATTTGTCTTTTGGGACTGCGTGAACCCGTGCAAACGAGTTGCGGCCACAGATTCTGTAGAGGCTGCATTGTACGTTCTATAAGGTAAGTTTTAGAGGTAGAAAGATTAAACCGATAAACGGAATTTGAGTCTTTTCTCAGAAAACCGCCCACGCATAACCAGTTGAAATCCCACGCATTCCAAGTTTTATTCACATATAAAAAATCTTGCGAGCGTTGGTCTACTGGATCAGTATAATTTGAAAACTCACTTGTAGATGTTGTCAAGTGCAAACTCAAAAGAAAGATGTTGAAAAGTTCTGAATACGACTAGCTTTGTTCGTACTTTCTTTTATCCATGTTATACATCCACACTCCAGTCTATTTTCACTTTTAACAGAATGATGCAAGCTTAAGCTTAAACATTTCAACCTTATGGTGTACAGAAAGCATGCTTCTGTGTTTGAAACATAGTGCATGCCGACATTGTTATTAAGGTAAATACACACGTCCCAGCCCGTTGTTACCATGTCATGTCAGGCTTTCTGTAAAGCTCGTTATTTCATGACAGCTTGAATATGGCTTGTGAACAAGGAAATGTCCCTTTGGTAGCAAGGAACACTGTGTTAAGGTTGTGTAATAAAGGTTCAATCACAAATGAGAAACCATGGATCTAGAGATTGCAACAATCTACACTGTCCTTGTTTGGCAAGGCTGAGTCATTTGTTCCCACTTGCTGTTGGTAATAAAGGCCTTTATTAAAGAAGTGTTTATAAAAAGCAGTGATGCATTAAAACAGAGTCAAGTCATTTACAGTATTTTCAAAATGGTTGCAGCAAATACATGTAAGTGTGGATGAATGCTCAAAGAAGGACTTAGTTTTTCCATATTTCTGGTTTGAAATTTTGACTATGATTATTGAAAACATTTTGACCACTTGATGAAGCAATACCAACTGCCGAAGTTATGATCACCCGAACCTCAAATGATGGATGACAAATTCGGTGATGTTTAATACCCAATAAGGTTGTGGTTTGTTGACCTGCTCATGCATGCTGAGATGTATGTAAAGGTAACTGCTAGCTTTGTAGTGTTCTTGATACACCGGTATGTTTTTGATATTTTAAGTTCACAGACCTTGGGAACCAGGTTGGCCACAAACCAAAATATTTCCACAAACCAAAATATTTCCTCATGAGGTATTGACCCGTAGCCCGAAAGGGCTACGGGTCAATAGCCCATGAGGCGTTTTGAGAACATCAAATTTCCAAGGGGCAGCTATCAAACCGATAGTTCCGAGACATAAACACTCTATTGTCTTTATTGTTCACCACTAAATTTTCTTCTGTGCACCAGTTCAAAAATCATAATGAATTATTTTCAACATTTTTAGATGAAAGCTGTGACAGCCAGATTTAAAATTTGAAAAAGAAAACCGACAAAAACCCACTTAATCCAATTTCAATTCTTTATTTTCTACAAACCTGCTTGTTTACAGAAAATTTTTCACAAACAAGTACTATCCATCCAGGTATTTTCTGCAGACACGCACTATGGGCTGACAGTGTCTTTCCGCAGACGAACACTATCGCACCACGTGATCAATTTAAACCAATAAGAATGGGAGCAAATTTAGTGGTGAACTATAACTGTTTTTAGTAGCCAATAAGCTTTGTCGTGTTGGAAATCCTTGAATCTGATTGGTTCGCTAATCGTTTTCTATTTGCAAATAGACAACGATCACTTACGTGCTGCTCTTGAAACTGAAACTTTTTTCACAAAATTGTATAAAATAGAAAACAAACTGAGGGCCACACATGCTGTTACAGTGCTCGCTCTTGTTTATGTATTTTTATATTTATTTTCAACAGTTTTATCTTGACGGGGTTTTCACCCTTGTCCATCCTTGCATGTGATTATCAGGCTGAGCAGAAGTCACTAACACCTTTTATTTATGATTTGTCAACTTTTTCTTAAATTTCCTTTTAGAGGAAACATCTACATCTACATCTACATCTACAATCTAAAATAGATTGTTTTTAAATTTTTTACAAACTTATATCTGTTCAATGGTCTGACATCATAGAAATGCTAGTAGATGAACCACTTTTAAAAAGGTAAAATTATGAGTTGATTAATTTCTTTGTGAAGCAACGGGGAGTTTTTGGTGTCATGCTTTTTGCAGCACTTTTCCTATGGGGTGCCATTTGTAAAAAGAAATGATTTAGCTTAATTTTGTCAATTTGTTCGTTATTTACTAAATAAAGTTTTTTGATATGATATCATACATTAATGATTTGATATAATAAATCCTGATTTCAAATCATATGCTTGTGATTCGATATAGTAAATTATTATTTCAAATCATACGTTTATGATTTGATATAATAAATTACTTTTTCAAATGATGCAGTTATGATTTTATATAATAAATTATTTTTTCAAATGATGCGGTTATGATTTGATATAATAAATCCTGATTTCAAATCTTTTGGTTATTATTTCAAATCACAACTTACTTATTTGAAATCATAGCTCAGTCATTAACTATTTGATGTCTGGCGGATGATGGTTAATTCAATTGCTTATTTGAAACCACGAAAAAGCCTTATTTCAAATATGAATCATTATTTGATATCAGTAAAACCATGATTTAATTTAATAAGTAATAAGTAACTGCAGCGCGTCCATGTGACTTGGTATGTGGGTTACTAGCGCAGGAGTAATCGCAAAGATGGCAACACAACCAGACCAGCTATCGAGGTCAATCACTTCTGTGGTCACTAGAGCCGTAGAAAGGGCGATTGACCAAGCTTTGTCATCTCTTTCTAGCGTTCCTGGCAATTCAGGTTTTGCTCGTGCGACACAAGAGGTATGATCACTGGGTGACGACCTGTGTGTCAATTTGTGTCTTACATGTTGTGCTGCATATCTGGAACTACCCCCCCCCCCCCCCCCCCCCCCTTGAAAAATCCTG